AAATTGCAAACTACATAAACATTTATAAATTGTTTTTCATATTAGAACTTTTGCTCTTTAAAAGACAAACAAGATAATTTAAAGCCAAGTCTAATGCTGTTGAAAATATTTTCAAAGCATTTATTTTAAAGGAGTATTATTTTCATAATTGATACTTTACACTCTTACAACTCAAATATATGAAGTACAACAACCTAATTAAAAAAAGCGTAAGAGATTTTCAATAAACATCTCACCAAAAAAGATAACATGACAAATAAAAGCAAATATGATTATGAGTCATTAGACTAATACAAAACTTAAAACATATTGAGAAAGCTTCACTAGAATGGCTAGAATTAAAAAGACTGACATAACGAAAATTAGCTAGGATGTGGAACAACTTCAACTCTCATTCATTGTTGGTGGGAGTGTACAATGTTGTTACTACTTTGAAAAATTAATTTGGTTGTTTTTTAATAATACATTTACCATCAGACTCTAAGTCCTTGATATAAGATATCTATTGAAACCGTATGCAAAACAACAATACATATATTTGGGTGGCCATAGTAATTTTATTATAGTAGCTAAAACCTGAATAGCAGCTCATGTATCTATCAATTGGTAAATAAATAAATAAATTATAATATATCTATACAATGGAATACTCAGCAATACAAATTAAAAGTGACATGTATGTAACAATGTGAATTAATCTCAAAAGTATTTTGTTACATGAAAAAAAGTTAGTTACACGAGATTACATTCGGTGTGATTTGTTTTATAGTTATATAAAAATCGGAGTATTCCAAAGCCAGAAATAGGGGGAATGGATTGATTACAAAAGAACATGATGAAATATTAAAGAGTGGGCATTGAAGATATATCAATTAATAAGAAATGTGATAAGCTTTGAAAGATAAGTAGAAATTCATAAAGCAAATAAGGGAAAGAAAATAGAGAATTTTTAGAGAAGATTAATTTGGGGGAAGGAGCTGAATTTTGATACAACCGAATATGTTTCATTAACTCTAAGTTGCTTCACATTTTCTGAGTATGAAATGAAAGAAGTCTTCAAGGAAATAAAATTGATACTCTTTTAAAAATTAAAGTAAATCTTTAAAAAAAGTAAGATTTCTCTGATTCCTGGTAACTTCTCACAATTTGTTCTGTTTAATAAATTGAGCTTATATTTCAATCTGTCTGAACAACCATTTGCTTATAAAAATTTCAAATCATTATGGCATGTCTTTTTAGAAATGTTAATCCTGTTTTATTTACTTCATAGCTCTTTGTACTTTTATTGCATTAATATCCTTATATGATTATTTCGTCTTCCTCCACCAGAAAGTAAGTTTCATGAAAGCAGAATTTTAAGCTTTGCTAAGGACACAAACTATCTCTGTTTGTTATATCTTCCTAGGTATTGACTACAGTGAATAGTTATCAGTGTTTTTAAAAATATACTGACCTATATTAAGATTGTTTTAGTTCATAAAAACCTACAATGGGGTAAAATGTAAGTTTTTTCTGGGATGGGACAATTTATACTTTTCTGTATCTTAGTCTCTGCTCAAATACATTACCAAAATGCAGTTTCATGCATGTATTTCCATTTTAAACTGGAAAATGAGGGGAAAGAACAAGATGGTCAAATAGAGGGCTCCACTAATTTTCTCCCTCGCCTCCACAAGTTTAACATCTATACAAAACAAAGCACCTTTATGAGAACCAAAATCAAGCGAGCACTCACAATAGCTGGTTTTAACTCACATCAATAAAAGAGACACTGAAGAAGGTGGGAAAGAAAGTCTTGAATCACTAATGTTACCTCTCTCCAGTCCCTTGGCAGTGGCCATGTGATACAAAGAGAGAATCTGTGTGCCTGTAAGAAGGATAGCAGGGCAATTGTGAGACGTGGTATTGAACTCAGTGCTGCCCCGCCATAGCAGAAAGCAAAACCGGACTGAATTCAGCTAACACCTTCCCACAAATGAAGCATATAAATCAGTCCTAGCTAGTAGAAAATAACACATGCCAGCAGTTAAAATTTGAGTTCTGGCAAATGTCACCGTGGTAAGCTAAAGTGCTGTGGGGTCCTAAATAAACTTGAAAGGCAGTCTAGACTGCAAAGACTGCAACTCCTGCGTGAGTCCTAGTGCTGAACTGGGCTCAGAACCAGGGGACTTGGATGGTACATGACATACTAAGACATCATCTGGGGTGGCCAAAAGAGTGCTTACATCACCCCTCCTTTAACCTCAGGCTGCACAGCTGTGGCTCCAAAAGAGACCCTTTCCTTCTGCTTGAGGAACTAAAAGAGTAAAGAGAACTCTGTCTTATGTCTTGGATACCACCTCAGTCACAGTAAGATAGGCCTTCAGTCAGAGCCGTGAGGCCCCCTTTCCAGGCCCTGGTTCCAAAATGACAATTCTAGACACATCCTAGGCTAGAAGGAAACCTGCTTCCTTAAAGGAAATTACCCAGTCATAGCAGGATTCATCACCTGCTAACTAAAGAGCTCTTGGACCCTGAATAACTAGGTGAAATATCCAGGTAGTGTATCATGGCCCTTCAGTGCGACTGTGAGCCTTGCTGGCTTCAGGTGAACTCAGCACAATCCCAGCTATAGTGGCTATGGTGAAAAACTCTTTCTACTCGAGAAATGCACAGGGAAGAGTAAATGGGAATTTGTCTTTCATCTTAGGTAACAGTTTAGCCACAGGGGTTTAGAGAACCAAGTAGGTCCTTGGGGTCTTTGAATCCAGGCCTTGGCTCTTCTATGGCATTTCTGGACCTACTGTGGGCAAAGGAGAGTCCACTGTCCTGAAGAATGAGCCCTATCCTAGGCAGCATTTACCATGGTGTAACTAAAGAGCCCATTGACCTTGAGAAACTATTGTCAGTAGCCTGGCATACTCCCCGTGGGCCCATGGTGGTAGTGGTCACAGACTAAGGCTTCTCTGCCTGTGGAAAATGGAGAGATGAGTGGATAGAACTGCTTCTTGTGTTTTGAATGCCAGCAAAGCCATAGTACAATAGAACACCAGGTAGACTTCTAAGGGTCTTACTCCAGTCCCTGGCTACTGAATGGCACGTCTGGACTTGGCAGTGGTCTGTGGGAAGTTGGTGCCCTGAAGGAAAGGGCACAGGCCTGGCTGGCTTTCTCACCTGCTGGTTATAGAGCCCCAAGGCCTTGAGCAAACATTGGAAGTAGCCAGGTAGTGTTTATAGAGGCCATGAGCCCGACGCAGTCCTGTGCTGGCTTCGGGTCTGATCAAGAGCACTCTGATGCTCGTGGCCACAGGGGTGCTTGTGTCATTTCATTTCTAGCTCCAGGTGGTTCAGACTGGAGAGAGAGTTCATTTTTTTGAGAAAGCGTAAGGGAAGAAAACATTAATCTCTTCCTGGTAATCCAGTGAATTAATTCTTCTGGATATCATTTAAGACTATCAAGGTGGTATCTCTATGAGTCTACAAGAACCACAGGATTACTGGCCTTGGATGCCCCCTGAAGCCAACAGAGTTTAGATCACAATACCCAAGTCTTTTTAAATACCTGGAAAGCCTTCCAAAAAAGGATGGATACAAACAAGGTCAGACTGTGAGCAGTACAAAAAAAAAATAACTAACTCTTTAATGCCCAGGCACAGATGAACATCCACAAGCATCAATATCATCCAGGAAAACATTACCTTAGCAAATGAACTAAATAAGGCACCAGAGACCAATTCTGGACAAACAGAGAAATGTCACCTTTCAGACAGAGAATTTAAAATAGCTGTGTTGAATCTTCTCTCTTTTTATTAGTCTAGCTAGTGATCAATCTATTTCATTAATATTTTTTTAAAAAACAAGCTCCTGGATTTGTTGCTCTTTTGAATAATTTTTCATGTCTCAATCTCCTTCAGTTCAGCTCTCATTTGGGCTATTTCTGGTCATCTGTTATGTTTGAGAAGTCTTTGCTCTTGGTGCTGTAGTTTTTTTTTATAAGTTGTGATGTTAGTTGTTAACTTCAGATCTTTCTAACCTTTTGATGTGAACATTTAGTGCTATAAATTTTCCTCTTAACACTACCTTATCTGTGTCTCAGAAATTCTGGTCTGTTGTGTCTTTGTTCTCAGTAGTTTCAAGGAATTTTTTTGATTTCTGTCTTAATTTTATTATTTACCCAAAAGTTAACCAGAAGGAGGTTACTCAATTTCTATGTAATTTTGTGGTTTTGAGTGAATTTCTTTGCCCATTTCTAATTTGATTGCAAATTTGATTGAATTTGCTGAGGAGTGTTTTACTTTGGATCATGTGATTGATTTCACATTATGTGCTGTGTGGTGATAAAAAAGTGTATATTTGGTTGTTTGGGAGTAGAGTTCTGTAGATATCTATCAAGTCCATTTGATACAACGTTGAGTTCAGCTCCTGAATATCTTTGTTAATTTACTGTCTCAATGATCTGTCTAATATTAACAATGGGGTGTAAAAGTCTTCCACTATTATTGTGTGGGAGTCCGAGTCTTTTTCAAGGTCTCTAAGAAGTTGCTCTATGAATCTGTGTGCCTCTGTGTTGGGTGCATATATATTTAGTATAGTTAGTTCTTCTTGAATTGAACCCTTTACCATTATGTAAAGGTTAGAAATCCACTACACTGAGTGGGCTAATGTGCTCTGTACAGTTTGATGGATTGTGTCAGCCAAAGCATTTTGTATTGTGGTGACAGCAGGATCCATGCTTGTAGGGGCACGTGTGGCAGAATGCTAGCAGGTCTTGGGGTGCTTGCCTCCCTGTGGGTGTTGAAAATGCACCTGCAGGGAGTGCAGGCTGCCCCTCTGGTGACTGTGTGTGGTTGTGTTGAAGATGGTGTTGGCTACAGGGTGGGGTGCTTGTGAGCACAGGTCTGGATACCTTCTTTGCCCTGCAAGCAGTAGTGTCAGGGCAGGGTACTGCTGTATGTGCAGTCTTAGCACAAGGGTTGAATTCACCCAAATTGGAGTGTATTGTAAACTATAGCTGAATTTAATTTAAAAATCAAAAAAGAGCTCAGCAATCAACTGAAAATATAGGCCCAGAAAGCTTACAAATTGTCTGATGAGAACAAGAGTTCAGGAGTTATGATCCCTAATCTAATTCTTCACCTAGGATACCACACTGCCTTCTCAGGGCTGCCTTCATGTCTCTGTTCCTCAGACTATAGATGATGGGGTTCAGGATTGGGGGCACAACTGTGTAGAACACAGACAGGAAAACATCCAGAACCGAGGGAGAATTTGAAATTGGCTTCACATAGGCAATGCTGCCAGATATCATAAAGAGTGTTACAACCACAAGATGTGGAATGCAGGTAGAAAATGTTTTTGATCTACCCTCCCTAGAAGGAATCCTCGTGATGACTGAAAAAATGTACATATAGGAGAGAGTAATTACAACAAAGGAGCTTATCACAAGACTTGTAACAAAAACCATTACTCCAATCTCAATGGTAATTATTTTGGGATCTAAGAGGCTTAGGAGCTGTGGAATGTTACAGAAAAATTGACGTATTCTATTGCGCCCACAGAATGGTAATGAGAATGTTGCTGTCACATGCATGAATCCACAGATCATCCCACTGAGCCACGACATTGCCATCATCCTTATACAGACACCTTGGTTTATGATGACCTCATAACGTAAGGGCCAGCAGATGGCCACATAGCGGTCATAGGACATCACTGTAAGGATGGCTACCTCAGTAGTCGCCAAGTCCATGAAAAAGAAGGCTTGCAAAGCACACCCAAAGAAAGAAATGGAAGTATCATGAGTCAAGGAACTGACAATAGATTTTGGAATTGTGACAGAGATGTAACAAAAATCTAAGAAAGACAAGTTTCTCAAAAAGAAATACATTGGGGTTTGGAGGTGAACATCCAGAGTGGTAAGCATGATGATTAGGAGATTTCCTATGAGAGCTGCCAGGTAAACTAAGAAGAATACAGCAGCATGTACAATCTGAATATCCCAGGAATTCGAAAATCCCATGAGGAAAAATTCAGCAACTTCAGTTTGGTTAAAATCATTTGTGGTCGATCCATTTCTTCCTAAAGAGAGGAAAAATATGAATTATAGAAATATCAAATATGGCTACTCCAACTGACATTGAAATTTGTGATAATTAAGGTTACTCATATGCCAGTGTGGATACTATCATTCTAAACTTAAATTTCAATTACACAGAAGAGAGTTTTATAGAAAGCATATTCTCAATAAATATGTCCTAGTATGTAAGGTATATAAAAGAGGACAACCAAAATGCAAAATAAAAAGGGAGAATTAATAACCACACTGAAGCAATCAACAAAGAAAATATATAGTGTTAAGAAAAGAATAAAATACACATTCCTGGACAATAAATGAATATTAGTGTTTTTCCATCAAGTGAATATACATATTTATTTTGAAGCATTTTATTTGCTGCTTATTTGTTGAAGTATAGCATTGCAAGTGGTTTGTCATAGTTCTTTTCAGTTTTTATGAAAATGAAATCAAAATCGTATTAGTAATCTGAAAAAAGTCTCCTTATGTCATAACTATTTAGTGAGATTACAGTCACAGCCTTTCAAAAAAATATCAAGAGACATTTGTTAAACACCTGACATAAAAAGCACAATGGTTGACTCTTAGAGTAAATATTTCATAAGAAACAGTTTTTGAATTCAGAACTTAAACAATCAAACGGAGAATGTAGGGATGTAAAATACCAAGTGGAGTCTGGTATTACAAAGAATAGCGACAAGATGAGAAGATAAGGTGAGAAAGAGTGATGGTGGATTGTATTGAGAAAACAGACTGGTCTTTTGTGTTATAGAAGAGTTGCGGAGAACAGTATCTGAGCTAGAGCTTGAGAACTATTTTACTGAATTATTATTACACAGGTATTTTTGAAGAAAGCCACATAGGAAAAGGCAGAGGTACAAAAGTTTTTATAGTATAATTAGAATATGGATGTGGATTAGCTAAAAAATGTGCATTTATGACAGTCATTTTGCTGATCTTCAGAATTCGTCTTCAATGTAGAGTCAAAAAGAATATCAAATATGTATTCAAAACACCTAAAAATATTGGGCATTTTCTATAATGATCTTTCTTAGCATCTGTCACTTATTTTATTTTATTTTATTTTATTTTTTATTTTGCTTTGGATTGGTCTAGTCCAGTAAAATGGTGTCCTCATTCCCAGAATTAGTGTTTCAAGCCAACCTCTAAAATGGATTTTTACCCTTATCAATTGATGTAGCTGGAATTTATGTATAGTAAACTGTATTAATTTAAAGTATGCAATTCTGGGGGTTTTGGCAGTTGTATATGCCTATGAAAACACCACCAAAACCAAAGAGGACTATTTTCATCATATCCAAAAGATTCCTTATCCTTCTTTGTATATAATCTCTTCCTCTGCCAGTTGTCATTCTAGGCAATCACTGATTTCCTGGTCTTTCTAGGGCAAATCAAAAGTTAAACCGGGAAAGAAAACCAAAATGGAGTCAACTGAGTGTCTCTCCTGGAAAATGTGTTTCTTCTTGTTCTAGCTTTCTGACATTGATTGCCTAAATAGCTGATTGTTAAAGGGACTGGTACAACCAAATGGTGAGAAAAATGCTTCTTATGACCAAGCAAAAGAACCAACCTCATCTTGAGAGTCTATTCTGACTACGGTTTACCAGGGCACCATTAATTAACATCTGTTTTATTAAAACATGAAGGAATGATATGGTGACACTAATCAGGAAGAGAAATATTGAGGACTCTAAAATGAGAGCTATTATGCAGCATTGAGAGACATTAGAATTGACTCATTTATTGGGAATTTTTAAAAATTCAGTCAATGCAAACATGTTTAAATCTGCACAGAACATCCTTTTAATCGAACACACGTACACAGCACACACAGAACTTTCATCACTGAAAGGAAATATAGACTCATCCAATCCCACCATACATCAAGACCATACACACACACACACACACACACACACACACACACACACACACACAGAACTTTCAACACTGAAAGCAAATGTAGACTCATGCAATTCCACTATACGTCAAGACTTGTATTAGACCGCTCTCTCTTTTCTTTTGCCAACTTTCATGTATGTGCATTGCTCACACCAAGATCCAGAACTGCTATCACCCAAGCAAAAGAAATGAGAATGTATTCTAAAATGTATGGTGCATAATCTATAAATCAGATAAGAAGATGGCATGGAAATATATCAGTATAATCTATTAATTGAAAAATAATATAACATTATTATGGTTTAATTTTCCAAATTTATGGTATTGAACTTACTGCATGATGTGAGCTGATTTTTGTTGATCTGGGCCATTGAGGAACTTCAGTCATTCAAAATTTAAAATTTCCATTTCTTTGAGAAGGAACCTTGGTTTATCTAAATATATCAGATAAAATTGAAAAATGCCTTAATCTCATAATGTGGCTGTAGCCACTAAGTTGAGACTGCAGATATCTTTGTCTTCTCCCTGATTCAAAAATATAAACTTGATGAGTACAACATCTGGTTTCCATTTAGCTGTGATTCAGTATTTGCAATGAAATAGTGGTTAATAAGTGAGATCCTAATGAGAGAAACTCTTTATAATTTGGAGGTCTCTGGAGACCAGATTTCTTGTGTTTTAAATGTATCTTTGGGGAACAGGAAGCAAAGCAGAGCTTTGATTAATTCACTGACTAGCAATAAGGAGAAATATTCATTTTGTGATGTTGGATAAAGAATGGGAATTAATTGAATAATATGATCTTCCACACACCCAGAAGCTTGATTAGATAGAGCATTGTGCTGAGAGTTAAAGAAGAAATAATCAGTAATTACACTTGGACTATAGGTATAAATCCAACTAGAGATTCTGGAACTAGATTTTCATTCTTAATATTTTTTTCCTAATATTCTTCTCTAATAGGTATATTTGTGCCCTTTTCACAGCCCTTTCTATCCTAAGTCAATTTTGTATATGAATGGCAAATTTTAAACACAAAGCTAATTTAGCTGGGCATCCTGGTTCATGCTTATAATCCTAGCACTTTAGGGGGGCTGAGGCAGACTCATGGCTTAAGCCCAGGAGTTTGACACCAGTCTGAGCAACATGGTAAAACCCCATCTCACTGGTACCATCTCATAGTAGCATGTGCCTGTAGTCCCAGCTACTCAAGGGGTTGAGGTGGGAGATTTATTGAGCCAGGGAGGTGGAGGCTGCAGTGAGCCATAGGCAGGCCACTGCCCTCCAACCTCAACAACAGAGCAAGATCCTGTCTCAAGAAAACAAAACAAAATAAGAACAATGAAAAATGAATCTGTCACCCTCATTTTAAGACCTTTCTGTGCATTTATTTTATATTAAAGGGAAAATTTGGTGATGTGGCCTGTATGCTTGAATTACCTCTTTCTAATTATCTGCCTCATCTAATTCTCTGCCATTCCTCACCCCTACATGGATTGAGTGGCCATCAAATTGTTTCTTTTGTGAAATGCTGTTCAAATATTTTCTCATTTAAAATTGGGTTTATATTTATTAGTATGTAGGAATTATTTTCATTATGGGCGTTAATTATTAATGAAATTAGTTATAGATATTTTTAATGTTTGTAGTTTCTCTTTATAGTGTTTGATAAATGGAACTTACTGATTTCAGTGTTGTTTTTCTATGAATTCTCCACTTTTTTAAAATTATACTTTAAGTTCTGGGGTACATGTGCAGAACGTGCATGTTTGTTACATAGGTATACTCGTGCTATGGTGGTTTGCTGCACCCATCCACCTGTCATCTACATTAGATATTTCTCTTAATGGTATCCCTCCCTTAGGCCCCCACACCCTGAAAGGCCCCAGTGTGTGATGTTCCCCTCCCAGTGTCCATGTGTTCTCATTGCTCAACTCCCAGTTATGAGTGAGAACATGTAGTGTTTGGTTTTCTGTTTTTGTGTTCGTTTGCTGAGAATGATGGTTTCCAGCTTTATCCATGTCCCTGCAAAGAACATAACTCATCCTTTTTTGTGGCTGCATAGTATTCCATGGTGTATATGTGCCACATTTTCTTTATCCAGTCTGTCATTGTTGGGCATTTGGGTTGGTTCCAAGTCTTTGCTATTATGAACAGTGCCACAATAAACATACGTGTGCATTTGTCTTTATAGTAGAGTGATTTACAATCCTTTGGGTATATTCCCAGTAATGGGATTGCTGGGTCAAATGATGTTTCTATTTCTAGATCCTTGAGAAATAGCCACACTGTCTTCCACAATGGTTGAATTAATTTACACTCCTACCAATAGCGTAAAAGCATTCCTATTTCTCCATATCCTCTCTAGCATCTGTTCTTTCCTGACTTTTTAATGAATGCCATTCTAACTGGCATGAGATGGTATCTCAATGTGGTTTTGATTCGCATTCTCTAATGACCAGTGATATTGAGCTTTTTTCATATGTCTGCTGGCTGCATAAATGTCTTCTTTTGAGAAGTGTCTGTTCATATGTTTTGCCCACTTTTTGATGGAATTGTTTGTTTTTTCTCGCAAATTTATTTAAGTTCTTTGTAATTCTGGGTATTAGCCCTCGGTCAGATGGATCAATTGCAAATTTTTCTCCTATTCTGTAGGTTGCCTGTTTACTCTGATGATATTTTCTTTTGCTGTGCAGAAGCTCATTAATTATATCCCATTTGTCTATTTTGGCTTTTATTGCCGTTGTTTTTGGTGTTTTTGTCATGAAGTCTTTGCCCATGCCTATGTCCTGAATTGTATCGCCTAGGTTTTCTTCTAGGGTTTATGGTTTTAGGCTCTATATTTAAGTCTTTAATCCATCTTGAGTTAATTTTTGTATAAAGTACAAGGAAAGTGTCCAGTTTCAGCTTTCTTTATGTGGCTAGCCAGTTTTCCCAACACCATTTATTAAACATGGAATCCTTTCCCCATTACTTGTCTTTGTCAGGTTTGTCAAAGATCAGATGGTTGTAGACGTGTGGTGTTATTTCTGAGGCCTCTGTTTTTTTCTATTTGCCTGTATATCTGTTTTGGTACCAGTACCATGCTGTTTTGGTTACTGTAGCCTTGTAGTATAGTTTGAAATCAGGTAGCATGATTCCTCCAGCCTGTTTCTTTTTGATTGGGATTGTCTTGGCTATGCAGGCTGTTTTTTGGTTCCATATGAAATTTAAAGTAGTTTTTTCCAATTCTGTGAAGAAAGTCAATGGTAGTTTGATGGAGATAGCATTGAATCTATAAATTACTTTGAGCAGTATGGCCATTTTCTAAGAGCCTTCACTGTG